AAAAAATTAAAAAAAAAAAAAAAAAAAAAAAAAAAAAAAAAGGGAGAGAGAGCTATGACAAACTGGAAAAGAAAAACTTATACTCAATCATATGAGTTAATGCTTTGTGCAGTGTTAGGATAAGTTATCCTTACAATTACTCCTACGATTTGCGAATAGAGTAGATTATGGCAGGGTACTCATTAGGCCCAAGACTAGCTTAAAGTACTGTTGTGAATTTGGTTTATTTATTTATCTATTTATTATTTTATTTTTTTTTATCGGTAAATAAATTTATATTGATAAAAAAATGAGTACAACTACTCCGGGTATCTCAAGGCATAGAAGTTAAACATTACAAAATATCTAAAGCCAATGACTCAAAATGAATCCAAACTTGAAGTTTCAAAATTGTTACACTTCATCAAGCAATACTAGAAGTCCAAGTGGGTACGACATTTCAAATAGAAGTTTCTGAAAAGGGTAACGAAGATAGTAATTGAGGAGATTAGGCATATAGTGACATGAAAAAAAAAATATATATATATATATATATATATATTTAAAGTCGATCATTTTGAACTCCTTGACTCCTAGTCTTCTCGATTGGTTAGGTCTCTGAACTATATTTCATTGGTTGCAGGTCAAGTTGTATGCCTCATCTAAACTTTGTAATGTTTAATTAGTATTTTTGTATTAATAAATATTCTACCAGCATGGTAGTTTGATTGTTAAAATAAAAAAAAAGGAATAGACGCGTCCATGTTATAGATAGAAGGCAAATATTTTTTTTAATTTTCTAAAAGAAGAAAATAAACGGAAAGAATCTTGTGAGTAGCAAAATAGATAAATATAGAGATCTAGTCAAGAGTAATGCTTTTTAACCATGCTCTCTTGTTGTTTGTTTGGTGGATGACATTTAATATCTAACTGCATTGAAGAAACTTAAGGCACAAAATTTCCATTTAGTACACGATCACGAAAAATGTAGGAGCTTAATATAAAATAAATGAAATCAGTTATGCCGACCGACAAATTTTTGCAAGTGTAAGGTATCGTAGTTATGTAATAGAGTTGTGAATAAGATATTGAACCCATGAGAGCAATTTACTTACTCTAGTTAGAATCAATATTAACTCTAGTCAAATTTGTCAATTTGTTAATTGTGATTTTATACCAAATTATCTAACTAAACTAACGAGCAACTATGAAATTTTTGTAAAATTGATTAATACCAACATTATGATTTTGAGTCCCCCTTTATTAGTCCATTTTAATACAACTCAAGGCAATGTAGGGGTGACAATTGGCCGAGCGACTCTTTGATTTGCCACTTCACTCGATGGAGCTCAATCCATGAGTTACTTGGGCTCATATGTCAATAAGACTAGGCTTGAGTCAAGTATTGATTTTTAACGATGAGTGGAGCCCCACTCGACTCACCGTCATAGCGATTGGCTCGTGAACAACGTGAATTGTGACCAAATGGTCACTTTTTTTATTTGTGACCGTTGCCAATGGTTGCAAATATTTCAAATGTTGGGTAAAGGTTGTGAAAAAGAAGAAATATTTGGAATAATTTTCCCATTATAAACAATTTCATTTACTGTAAAATGATAATTTAAAAAAAATAATTAAACAAAAAAAAAAAAAAGTTGGAACATCTCCTCCCTCACGCCACCCAAAACCCCACCCCAAAAAAAAAAAAAAAAAAAAAAAAAAAAAAAAAAAAAAAAATGGGAAACAACCCCCCCCCCCCCCCCCCAAAACCCCCCCCCAAAAAAAAAAAAAAAAAAAAAAAAAAACAAAACAAAATAGAAACATCTACTCTACGAGACTACGTCCCCCAAAACCACCCCCAACGCTAAACCTAAATCCCACCCACGCAGCGCCGACCATCATCTGCCTACCTTAGCCACACCTAGAACCACCGCCACCGCTGCAATGCTGTTCTGATTAAACACATTAGAAAAATTAGCTGAAAGATTCGAATAAATCGAAATGACTTTCCGGTATTAAACCCACATTTTCGCCATATTCCCATGATTGTTCGACTGGTGATTCTTGTTAACTTGCTGAATCATAACCAAATTCCTGTCCAACAATGATTGTACTTCTTGGAAATTTTCAGTGAAGGCGGTAGAAGAGGCAGTCAAGAGGCTTCCCGAAATCAAAGAGGCGGGGGTGGATGTATTGAATGACAGAGCCGTAGTCATGTTTTGTCCTGCTTTTGTTAGTGTAATTTGAAGCTCAGTTTTTCCTTCTGGATGGTGATTTTATTTGATTTGTGCGCAGAACTTTTTTTTTTTATTTTATTAAACGGGGCTGTGTGCTTTTGCTTTAAATTTTAAGTGGTTTTAATTGATTAACTTACAGATGATCTATGAAGAATTACTGATGTTGCTCTCTATTTGTTCGTTGTTGCATTCTTGGAGTTGAATATTTTCCATTTTTCTTTTAGATTTGATTTTTGGATCTCACTGGAATTTTTTCTGATCCTCCGCTGCTCCTTCGAAATTGGACAATAGTGGGTTGGGTGAGTTACGGCGATGGTGGGAGTAGCAGTTGTCGCGGTTTTCCATTATTGATTTGGCTGCGGTGGTGGAGAATCTGGGGGTTAAATGTGGGGATAAGGGAGTAAATTGTAGATGGATGATTGGGATATTTGGCTGATATTTCTTGGCAAAAGAATAGATGAAGTGAATCAAGTGATGATTTTGAGGTGGTGTGTGGGTGGCCGATGGTGAGTGGATTTTCTGGTTTGATTTTTTGGGTGGAGTTGGGGTGGTGTGGGTTGTTTGAGGGAAGGAAGCTTTCAGTTTTATTATTTTATATTTAAATTGTTTTATAAGGTTTTAATACAGCTAATGAATTTTATAATGTTTGTGTAGAGTATAGATTGGAAGGATCAGTGTCAATAAAATGTGATGTTTATAGCTACGGTATTATGTTAATGGAAGTATTTACATGAATGAAACCAAGCAATGAAAAGTTTTCTGGAGATTTCGTCCTAAGGAGATAGATCAATGATTCTATGCCCGATGCAATAACTCAAATTATAGATTCGAACTTGTTAGGGCCAGAAGAACTCAACACAAAAAGTTGAAATGTTTGTCATCTGTAATGGAACTTGCTTTAAATCGTTCCATGGAGAGTGGCAGTGAGAGGGTGAACATAAAAGAAGCTATAGCATTAAAGAATATCAGATTTCAACTCGTCGCCTAACTGCAATTTTAAATTTAATTGCTTAATGCAATATGTTCTCTATGTATTGTATGATAATTTGGTAATTCTGTGGAGATTATATATTTTTCTATGTAGTTATATAAACTAGCAATCAATGAAATTTAATTCAAATTTTCTTATTTTACAAGTTGTATTCACTAGGTGTCTAGAATGCTTTTTAGAAGTGTGATTTTGCTTTCTCCTAATCAACCTCTTTTTTATATTCTTTTTAGTAATTCTATCCTTTGACACATTACAAGAGTGTCACACGGATGGCTAACGTCCGAACAAGCATTTTCCATTAGGTGAAGATATTGATTACACTACGTAAAAAGGTTGGGCATAAGAATGGCAAATATAAGTATTTAATACATAACATGTCATGAAAGAACAAGCATACCCCAAGATTAGACGAGAAATCTCAAGAACCATATTTTACGTTCTGAATCCAAATTTAAAAAACTACTTGAAATATCTACAGCAAATAAAACAATGGACAAAAGTTTAAACTTTTCTCTCATATTTTGGCTTCAATTGCAGGTGAATCCTCTATCCAGAATCATCCTTTTCATGTAGTATAATAACTCTTTCCACACAATTTTTTAATCACATTTGAGCGTTTTATTTATTATAACTCTAAACGGTTAATTAGCATTAGCCATAAAACCAACAAGAGATGGCAACTCATTACTTGTGTTAGTAAATCTAGCAACGACCTCTTTTCCATGTTCAAAGAACCAGATTATTAAGATTTATCTTTTCTTTATCCGAAAGACCTAACCATGTGATACATTGACAAAGAATTTATAAAACAAAACAATGCCCTTGTTTGAGCCCCATTTTTGGGGAAAAAATGAATTTTTGAATAGTGTATTAATGGAAAATGCGTAATTAAAAAATAAGGAAAATTTTTGGATTTACGTGTAATATTATTTTATTAAAAAATATGTGATTAAAATGATATCAAAACGATGTTGAAAAATAAATTTTTTCAAAAGAATGGAGCTCAAACAAGAGCAATGAGTTGTAAAGGAAATACCATTTTTTTTTTTCAACACACTCATCATGGATCTTGCAGCAAGCATCCAAACACTACAAAAAAAATGCGGCATCAGAGATGGAAATTTTCATGCTGATGCCTTAAATTTCATCGCTAACGACTTTCACAAACAGAATTGATCGGTTGGAAAATCCGTCAGTAATATCCTCGCTACCAATTTTATCGACAATTACCTAGGTCGTCGGTGATTTAGCAATGGAAGAAGCCGTTGGTGTTTACAAACTGCTATTTCCATCACTAATTAACAACAAATTTTTGCGACTCAAAAATTCTGTCCGTTGATGATTACCAATGGATTTCCATCGCTAATTTTAAAATATATATGATGCTATTTTAATAATTATTTTCTCGAAAACTTCCTACATTAAAGTTTTTTTAAAACAAAAAAATTTGAAATCCAATAGAATAATGTAAACATTCCTTAATTTCAAGTTCCATTTTCTCCCTCACTAAACAATCAAGATCATCCAAGAAGCAAGCAGCCCATTCATTTACCAGTCCAAAAATTAGATTTGATACAGATTCATTGATCCTAGTTAATCACCTCTTCCAGAGATAATATAACATACAACCAAAAAAAAAAAAAAAAGGAAAAAAAAGAATGAACAATCACTACTTACTGCCTATAGAAATTTGAGAAGACAAAGTCCCAATTGCACAATTTAAATCTCCAACTAGTCTCAAGAACAAAATGCCTATGTACTTTGACTGACAGATAACAGATCCCTATTCTCTTCTAGTCGGTCCTTATAGATTTGGCCGAAGAATGCTGACATTAACTTCAGAGAAACGAAGTATTGAGAAGCCGTGAAAGTGAAAATTTGCAGCAAATGATGCTAATATGAATGGCAGCAGAAAGTCAATGGTCGTTGATATGAGCACCAATTGCATTTGCTACAAGGAAAGACATTGCAATAGCTTCACGGTTCCTTGTAGATCTATTCATAAAAAATAAAATTTGGTCATTGTTAGAAGGAAACAAGGAAGAGGAAACTGAGAAAGATAAGATAAGAACCTTGATAAGCTTAATGAGCTCCCTCAATGCTCATGTACAGAAAACGCTTCCTCAACAATCTTCAAAACATTCAAAAACTTTCTTCCTATCTTCTCATCCATTTCCAATCAGAGTAATCTGTCAATATCATATCTGATACGACATCCTCCTCCCTTGATTGCAGAAGCTCCTTAACCCAACAGATATGAACCACCAGACCAGATACTATCGTATAGAATAAAAAAGAGAGAAGAATCCGGAGTGAAGAATGGATTAATGGGTAGAGGCGTGAATGGCAGCATTTCAGTAGTTTGTAATCCGATTCTTCTGCAAGGAGCGACAGCAACGGAGATGGAAGGCAGAGGGTGAAGGTTTCTATTTTTCTTGTAATCTGAATATCTGATTCACCTTTTGGGGTTCTATTCTTTTATAAATTGAAATTTTATAATATTTTCTGAAAGACATAGAGGGATGGCGGCAATGTGTTTTCGCAGGAAATGATATATTTGAATGGGAATTGGATGGAGGGGAATTAAAATTTTAGAGGCAAGTCAAATTTTAGATGGGAATTGAAACTTTTTGAATTTTTCGATGTAATTTTTCGTTGGTAACTATATAATTCTTTTATAAATTTAATTTCAATGTTTACCAGTAAATTTTTTCCGTTGGTAATTTATTTTACCATTTTTAATATTTTTTCCAATGAAATCATCCATTGAGAAATATTATCACTAAATTATTTAATTTATTTTTTATTATTTTTAAAATTTTACCAACAGATTAGTAACAAAATTGTATCAACGAAAATCTTCCGTTCTTAATTCTGTCGGTAATTTAGTATTTAATTTTGAATAATAATAAAATAGTAATTCGTTGCTAATTTGTTGTAATTCCGTCGATAATAGCAACGAAAGTTGTCCGTCTGTAAAATTCCGTTTCTATTGCCTCCTTTTCTAGTAGTGAAATCATCACAAGTTTTCTCACTTGGACACCGGTCCACCCGACTCCACGATACTTCCCATATTTAATTCCAACCGCTGTAACACATATAAAAAAATAAATCAATAAATACACAAATCAATAAAAAAACCAAAAAAGGAAATGAAATAATGGATTAACTTTCCATTTAATCATTAACAGACTCACTATTACAGTTTTCCATGAAAGTTTTAATGTATTTGATCTGTAATTCATGGTGAAGTTGCCATTGAAAACTCTTCATCTTGAGTCAAAAATAAAAATGTATGGAATTGTTTGGTAATCTAAGAGCATCAAACAATAAGAAGTCCTTGTTTGGTAAAAAAATAAAAAATAAAAATAATAATTAATTGTTTTTTATGAATTTATTTTTACTTCTTTAATTCTATCAAGTGATGATCAAACATATCGTTACTATCATGGGGATTTAAGGGTAATTATATTGCCACCACATTTTAATTGCAATTAAATTTCTCAATCTTTGTTCGTTGTAGCAATTATTTCCTTAAACTTTTTCATCGAATTTTTTTATATTCAATCTTCCATTAATTAGTATATCTAGTAATTGACGATGATTTATATCAATATATTTTGTTTCGAATCTTTAAAATAAGGGAAAAATATTTTTTGTGCTTTTTTATTTATTTATTTTTAGATATGATAAAAAAAATAAGTTGTTATACATTATTCCAACAAAATTTTGGAAAATATTAAAAAATACAATATGTATTAACAAAAAGATTGATGATAAGAATGTTATTAAAAATCATTAGACACGTGTATGCCATAATGAGTAAAGATTAAGAGCCTTGAGTATAATTAAAATGTTGTGCAAGAAATAAACATTTTGATGTGAATATAATTACCCGAGATTTAATTAAGCATTCATTTGATTAAGTGTTTATAATTTATGAGCTTCACGAAAGTCGAAATATGTGGATAAAAAATATATTGAATCAACTTATATTAAAGTTTTACCAAACTTGTATCAAGTGGTCATCAAATTATCAATATCAAACACATCATAAAGAGCATGAAGTTATTCTTAAGGTTGCAAAATTACATCCGAATATTGATTAAGGATTCGTTTGGTGTGACTTTTAAAAAATGATAAGACACTTTTGAAATTCAAAATTTGCTTTTAAAACCATTTGACTAATTTTATGAATGACCATACTACAAGTACATCAAATTTAATATCATATGAATTGACAAATTTTGTGCATTGATTTTAATAACATTTTTTCCAATCAGCAACCAAATTGAGTAAGGATTGTACAAGAAGCATAATTCTTTTATGACAATGTTTCTTCTAATTGTAAGAACATTTAGAGAAAGTTGATCAAATGTGGCTTTCTCTAAAAAACATTTTCGAAATAGTAACATCTTTTAAAAATTAGTATTTAAACAAAAGTTGATGTAGCTTCCTACAAACAAAAGTAAAAATCATGTCAAACGGACCCTAACTGATAGTTAAAAATTAAAAGTCATGCATTTTAAGTGGAAGTCAAAATTAATAAAAAAAATGTAAATATATAAGACTATTAGCATTTCAATAATTTTGTGGCAATTGGCCCTTAGACCGGGCTAATAGTTTTTATTGTCCTTCGACCAGTTTTTTCTTTTAAAAAATAAAATAATAAAAGCTATTAATTTCTATTTTTTGTTTTTACCCTTAAGCCCTTAAGGAAATAAAATAATAAATGGCTATCTCCTTTCTCTTTCAAATCTGCCATTTCGGATTTCTTCCTCTTGCGGCTTTCACTCCTCCGTTCAATTCAGTTTCTCCTTGTTCTTCACTCGCACTCCTCAACAGCTCCTTTGACATAGCCGGTCTTGCCTCTGGCCCAAAATCAGAGGGGCCCATATTTTGGCCTAATTTTTGTTTTTTAATTAAGAAAATGGAAAATCTTTTTTCATTCCTCTCCTCCTCCCGTCTCTGCTCGACTCGTCGCCTCATGTTTGACTCACCGATCCATAACGGTGATTATTCACCACTTTCTCTCCTTCGACATGCCCTACTTTTCAGTGGCCTCACATCCCCATTATATACACTTTCTTCTCTTCTTAGTCATTTAACCCAAGGCACTAGGAATTTCAATTGTAGGCTTTTTATGAAGTGAGTATTAATGCTCATGTTAATTCTCAGTTGCAATTGGAGCAAGCTCTTTTTTATTTTGATCCAATGGTTGATAAAGGTTTTGTGCCCAAGTCGGCTACTCTGAATAATGTATTGAATTTTCTTGTGAAGAGGAATAAATTCGAGAAAGCTTGCTGTGTATTTGATAAATATAATAGGAGAATTGTTACGAATGTGTACGCTTTTGGGATTTTGATGAACGGTTGTGGTGCTACTGGTGATTTAAAGAAAGGATTTCAGGTTTTGGACCAAATGTCTAGCATGGTGATAGACTTATAGTCCAAATGTTGTTGTATACACTACGTTGATTGATGCCTGATGGGTGTTGTAAGAATAGTGAAGTTGAAAAGGCAAAGGAATTGTTTTGTAAAATGGAAGAGCTGGGTTTGGTTGCTAATCAGCGCACTTGCACTGTTTTGATAAATGGGCTCTTTATGAAAGGACTTAAAAGAGATGGATTCGAGCTCTATGAGAAGATAAAGCTTGATTGGGATTTTCCGGCTTGTATGCATACAATTATGTGATACATGAGTATTGCAAGGAATAAGGATGGTAAGATGAGCAAAGCTTATGAACTGTTCGATTAAATGCGTGAGTGAGGAGTGGCATGTAATGTTGTGTCACACAACACTTAATTGCAAAGTAAGCTACTTCATCTTCTTAATTTCTTTTCTTTGTTGCCCTCATTTAAACACTTGTTGGAAAGAAGACAAGAAATCGTATTGGAATGCTTAGATGTCCACATTGTCTTGCCCATTGATTGTGCAGTATGTGAGATTTAGAAAAGGGATAAACAAAATTATGTATGTTAACTTCCCATCTCAAAATTTGCTTAAATAACTATATCCATAGATTGTGCAGTGTGTAAGATTTAATTTAGCTTGTCAGTGCATGAATAATATGTTTGAATATTGTTGAAGGGTTCTGGATCTAGAAAACTGTGGGGGCAAGGCGAAGGCTCTAGAACCTTTGCAGCCATATGAAATACCAAGAAGCTTATTTCCTGGTAATGTGTGCAAGTCTTTATTCATCTGTCTTGAAATTACTGCCTTGTCTACTAACATATTGAATATCATTGATTACAATTAGCGATGGAAAAGTGTATCTTTAGTTAGTTAATTCATGTTATTGTCTATATAATTCGCAAGATCCATATTTATTTGTACATTATGCATTCTTGCTGTGTTATTTGTTTTTCATATTTACACATATTTCTACACATGATGATTTTTAAACACTTCCATTGTGCGTATAGAAATTATAGAGATTGCCATGCTTGGTGGAAATGAAATTTGATTCAGAAGTTAGAGAATTCATAAGATAAATTGAAGAGATAGAAAAAATTGTAAGTAGTTAGATGTAATCCTTACATTATTTTGTGCTCTTGGATAAGAAAAGATGTTTAGAGAAAGTCGTTCAAATTCTTTCTTATATTCACCTCGCATTTTGATTATCGAAATCTTTTGTTAGAGAATTCATAAGATAAATTAAATCATATTGTTGTGCATGTCTAAATGAGTTACTAATATTGTCATGCCATTTGTGGGATGGAATACATATACATTGGTAATCGATGTAATGTGAAGGTCACAACACGTTCTAATGTGTCAAATGTGGAGAAAGTATACGATGCATTAGACGATGGTCCATAACGTGTCAACCGTCGAGAAATTATACAATACTGATATTTTTGCCCTTGATTATGATCCGTAGGACCTTTTGATGTATTTGTATGTTTACGAGTTTTGAGTGTAAATATAATTTTATAGTGTATGTTAAATGTGTGGTTTTTTGTGTTATGAATATAAGTTTATTTTTCAGGTTGATTTAGTTTATATTACAAGGGAGATAATGTCGAATTTTTTAAAAAATGTTGGTTATTTACTGAAAGTGTTTAAGGAAAAATACTGCTATCATTTTTCTAAATGACTAGAGTCGTTTAAAAGACTCCAATCTTTTTTTAAAAGAATGACTTTATTTGTCTAAAAAGACTATAGTTGTTTTTTAAAGAAAAGATTGTAGTCGGTTAAAAAGACCATAGCCGTTTCCTAAAACGATTACAGTCATTTCGTAAAATCGATGTTGCCCATTTTCCTTTAAGGATTATAATCTTTTTAAACGACTCCAATCATTTTCCTAAACAACTGGATGTATAAGGTGAGAATCAAACTTCTAACATTATAAATTGTGTTTGGTTTCGATATATTAGTTTAAAATGAATAAGAAGATAAACTTCATTATATACAATTCATCGTGCTCCGCTAACAATGTTCAAGTACATCGTATTTAGATTTTAAGTATGCGACTTACGAGTGTATTTATTAATAGCAAAAAAGCTTTAATTT